AAGCCACTCTAGAAGTGAAGGTGCCTCTGCAGCCCTGCGCGTTCTTGCTGTAGAACACTCTCTGTCACCACCCAAGACCAGAGAGCTGAACAACTCCTCTACTGGACTAGATTCACAGCAGTCATTCCAGAAGACCCTCCCCACACAAAGACATCCCCCAGGCAGCTTTCCCAGACCCTTCTCTGCTCCTTCAGCCCTCCTTCACCTTTGGGTTTGTTGGCATGAGCGGAGCCGATGTTCCGCGCTAACATGAGCAGCCGCTGCTCCCGCGCGTCGTGCAGCCGAAGGTACATCTCCCGCCAGGACTCAAACTCATCTGGCTTCTCGTTCTTGAAGTCTCGGAGACAGTGATTGTGCCACAGTTGATCCGTATCCTCAATGAGGACCTGAAGCAAACCCACACGTGAGCTGGGATCCCTCCCCACACCTTCGCTCCCCTCCCCCTCAACAGCAGGTAGTGCCGAGTCACTGGAATGCCGCAGAGGGCAAGACAGCTTTAGGGGCCTGCTTGCAGCAAGAGATGGGCAGACGGCAAACCCAGGAGGTCAGGACAGCACTTGTTGAACAGAGCACTGTTCTTCACCATTCTGCTATTGCAGATGAGGACAGAACCACTCCCGCACGTCACCGTCACGTCCCCAGGCCGAGGCACTCACATGGTTACATTCCTCAATGCGGTACAGCTGCTCTGGGGTGCATCTCTCCAATACTGGCTCCAGCACTGAGAAAGGGACACCACCCACTTCATAGATTGCTAGAGAGAAGCAAGATGCACAAAGTATTTATCCTGCTCCTTTCTTGCCGAGGAAAGGGTTTGACACCTGGAAATGCAGTGGAGGACATGCAGTGCTGCACGAGACTACGCAGTACGAGGGGAAGGAGAAAGGAACCATGAGGGCAATAGCTCTAACAAGTCATCAGGCGCCAGGAGCTCCAACTGCCCGCACAAGGCTCTGTTGGCCGCTACCTCCAGTGCTTCAGCACTCCCCAAAAGCACGTTTCCTGCTGCTTCCTGCAGCACCTGAGCTTTCAGAGGGCTCTGTCCCACATCACTTAGCTTGCCCTGTGACAAGGGCAGCTCTTCACATGCAGCTGCTCAGATACGTACAAACAAGCAACCAAGACTTCAGTGTACCTGCACGGCAGCGTGAGCAAGAGACATGAGGAAAGGTACTTACAGTCAATGTTGTTACTGAGGACTCTGATGCACTGCTGATACAGAGACATCATCTTGGGGAGGTAGGCAGTTTTAGAGCCTGAATACACTTGCATCTTTGAATTCAACCGGCGGCCTGTAAAACCCGCTTCGCTCTCTTCAACCGGCGAGGACACTGCTGCAAAGGGAAAGACTTGGAGTAAGGAAGGGAACAGAGGAAAGAAGAGCTCAGCCTTATGAATGGCACAGCAGACACAAACTGGGAGTCACCCAGAAGCAACCTAAAGGGCTAAGTCTTCTCCAAGAGAGAGACCTGCAAACTAGTTTCAGGAAAGGCAGCTCCAAAGCTCAAGTTGTAAGAAGGGTCAGCAAAGGATCTTCCTCATTTCTACCAGAGCACACGGGAAAACATCCACCTTCTGAAAGCTCCAGGCACCAGAGGCAAGACACCAGACCCCAACAAGAAGACTTGAACCCAGGTAGCAGCTGCTCCCTCCCACAGATGACGGCTGCAGCCCGTTTCAAACCTGCTTTCCTGGCCAACATACCTTTCCTCTTCGTCTGGGAGCAGGTAATGGACTCGAGTGAAGGAAGAGGGCGGTAATTGGCCTGGATTGGAGGCAGTGGGATCTCTGGTAACGTTGGTACCACATCTAAAAGTATCTGGAAGAGGAGGAGGTACATGCAAGTAAGCCAAGAATGCACGAGAATGTTACATCCTCCCAGTGTACAAACAGCACCGAGCTGCGTTTGGTTTGGTATTTTGTCTAAGCCACTCAACACTGATCAGCTTGCACCAGGAAACAGCCTCAGGGAGGGCTGCACTTCTGCCACATCACTGTAGCTCTGTCTAGGTAAAGCAGCCAAGATCTGGGACCTGAATCACTCCGCTCCCTCCAGTAAGAGCCATGAATATCTTTAACCTACTGGGCTCGGTGCTGAAGGCCTCTGGCAAGAACCCAAGTCAGATTAACAGTGCAAAGAACTAGAGAAAACACAGATGAGAAGCCTGGCAGAAACATTTCTTTGATCTCAAACACTCATTTACCTGTTCTGTCTCTTCTCCTCCCCACTTCCTGCAAAAAGACAGTGGTGGTAGAGAGAGTAACCTCACAAACTGAAGGAAACTAGGACTCTGATATGAGGCACTTACTAGAATGAATGGCAAAGTATTTAGCTGAAGTTGTTCTCTCCCCATTTTTGTACAAATGGATTTTGCCTATTGCATTTCTCCCTCCCTCTTCACCCACTTTCCCAGCAGAGTCCCACTCCAGCAGCACACAGCAATGCCTGCAGTGCACGGTGTCTGAAACACACAGTGTTTCCCAGCCGGACCAGGAGCACAGAGCTTCATACCAACAAGACACCACGAGCACACTCTGATGCCCAACAGCCCAGTGCCTCCATGGGGAAAACTAACAAGCCCCAGTGGCAGAGGACCGAGAGCAGCTGATCCCACCTTCTTTGTTGACTTTCAGATCCTTCAAAGCCCTCAAAGCCTTACCCTCTTTGGTTTAGGAGACTCTGGTAGTTTCTTCTCTGCTTTTTTCTCACTTGCTCGCTTGTGGCTTGGACTTTTCCGACTCGAGCTTGAGCTGTTGGTACTGGCTTTGGATCCGTTCTGTTTGCTGTGCCCTCGGTCTTTCTCCCCAGCTGGCACAGAAGGTTTGACCACTTTCTTTTTCTTTTTCTGGGGCTGGTCGTAGCTGAGGTACGACTCAAAGGACATTGTAGGTTGTTCAAATTCATCCTCCACTTCCCCCTCCCCAAAACTGGAGGAAAAGCCCACAGATTTTTTGTCTGTGTCGGAGACTTTGCGCTTCCCCTCTGAAGATTTTAAGCTCCCAGAAATGCCCTTCTCTTTACTCCTATTTGATGAGTCACTCTCAGCTTTCCGTTTCTCCCGCTCGGAGTTCGAGGTCTCCAAGCTCAACTTGGGCTTTTCCAATTTGCCTTTTTCAGAGTCCCGATGTTTCTGCTTCTTAACATGGTTGTCCAACGTCTCTTCCGAGTGCGGCAACACGTGCAACTTCTCCTTTCTGGAAGCACCACTTTCTCGGTTCTTCTCCTTCTTGGTGCCATCTGACGTCCTCTGCTTCTCCTTGCTGCCCCCTGCCACGGGGGCCTCTTGGAGTTGCTCTTTAAAAGAGGTTTTGTGCAATCTTTCTGGGCTGAAGGCAGAGCTCCTGTCCTCCTCTCTGCCATCAAGTCGCTGCTTCTTGTGAGAAGACTTATGCTCTTTGCTTCGACTCATGTTCCCTTTGTCATGGAACTCACCGGGGTTCCTTTCCCGGCCTCCCTCCAGCTTCTCCTGAAAGCTGTGGCCTTTACTGGCTTTCCGATGAAATACTGTTGGTTCTTCCTGCTCCTCAGAGGCATAAGGGTCTGTGTACATGTCCTGAGGGCTCTCACTTGGCTCAGGTGACCCAGCCTGTCCACAGTCCGAGTACTCCTGATCTGAAGAGAGCACTGGGGAAGATCTGCCCCAGCCCTTCCCCTCGTGGCTGCTATAACCATAAGTCTCATGGGCTCTCTCAGACCTGGGATACCTTTTGGACTTCTTTTCCCTAGGATCTGGGCTATAGGACTGGCTGCAAGATGGCTGGAAGGGTTCTGAATACTCCTGGTCAGGTTCCTCATCCTCTCTGAGGGAGGGTTCCCGATGTCTTTTGCTTGAGCTGCTCCTCCCATAGTCACGGTCTTCAGAATCTACGTTATTTCTAAAGGGGTAAGAAAACAAAATAGTTAGGTTAAAACATCAAAATACGGGAAGAGCCACTCCCCATGGGCCACGTGGAGTCCATGAGGAGTCTCACAGAAGACTACGGTTGTATTCAGTAGTTTTGTGGCAAGAAAAGCACTAATTCTCCCAGGCACAGCAACATTCAGGGATTTAGAAACCGCATTTCTAGTGCAGGAATCAGTTAAGCAGTTTGATTGGGACTGAGCCTTCACAGGTCACTGGGAAGCAGAGACACACGTACAGAGCCTCCTCCCTGCCTGCACGGTGCCAGTGGGAACCCCACCCCTGTTGGCCAGTTAAGAAAGCAGGGATACCACAGCCCTCGAAATTATCATGAATACCTGCTAATCTAAACCATCTCACTGCTGGGCTCTACACAGCTTGGTTACTGCAGCATGCCTGCTAGCTTTAACCTGCACTTTCCAAAGGATATTTGCACATCAAAGCCTTTCAAACCCAGTCGCTTTCTTCACTTGGGCCTACAACTTCCTCTCTTGAGCGCTGTAAAATGGGAAGCAGGCAGCTTGCATCTCTTGCTTCATTAAGGGCACTTTTCTGACATCTACTGTTAATCTCTTCATCAAACTGCAAGTTCTTGAAAACCAGCCCCTTCTTTCACAGCAAAGTGCAGCGTCAGCAGCCCAATGCGCTGCGACTGCCAGAGGCAGGAAGCTTACGCCAAAACCAGGCAAAAACCCCTGCAGGGTTAGCACCTTCGTGCCTCAAGTGTTTCCAGAGCCTTCACTCCGTTTCCTTGGTCAGAAAAGTTTGTGATCTCCACTGCATGAATATAACAAAGCCAACTGAACAGGGTCACTTACCTGTCTGCCTCCTGGGACACCGGCACCAACTTCTTCCACCTGGCTACAAGGTTCTTGGCAAAGTCTCCTACAAACTCATGTTTCCGTAAACTGTTCACAGTCTTCCCAACACCCGTCTCCTTCATGAGAGAGCAGAGACGTGAATTCATCAGCAAACCACTCAGCATTCCCACCTCTGCCAAGCTCCCAAGTGACTAAAGTTAACCCACTACCTAGTGCAGTAGGTAGAAGTAAACCTTGATCAAAGGGCAAAGATATCACATATATTGTGTTTTCAACACACATCATTTACTACCATTCAGTAAATCAAAGACAACTCTACCCTTGTCAAACACTAATTAATTGTGTTAATAAACCAAGCTAGTATTTACCATGGCCACTGGTAAGTTTGAAGACAGAAGTCACTAATAATTTTGAGGGTTAGCATTTCCTAACTTCCCGATTCAGTTATTGTTAGGATCCACCCCAACTCTCATGTCTCAGTCAAGCGTTAAGCTTTCGGAAGAACTGAGGATGACAATCCCCTGTGGCTTTACACTTGCTCTGATTCTCTGTGCCTGGAATCTAGAGCCTCATCCCAACAATGCTGGTGACAGCAGACTGTCGCAGGTGGCCAAGGCAACACACCCCACTCCATGGCAAACAGTTATCTTGTGCCTTGTCAGACGCGAGAGATTTCACAGCTCTTACCACAAGAATGTCAACTGTGATGGGCAGCTCAGACAGCCTCTTCAGACTCTTCAGCAGCTGCAGAGACAAGGAGGAAAGTGTTCACACTTGTCATCCTGAACCACACACTACGATCAGAACGGAAGAGAACCCGGCACTGCGTGAGAGCTTGTCAGAAAGATCCAAGTGGCAGGTAGCTGCGATCTCACTCCAAACCAAGCTGAACATGAGGGGCAACTGCAAAGGAATTATCATCTCTGTGCCTACAAGGGCCCATCTTAGAGTCTTAGAACACACTCTACTAGTGCTTTCTTCGCACAGGACTTTAAGCAACTTTGGCTTAAAGCACTAGGAAGAGACACCCACAACTCTGTTGTACAGTAAGTGGAAGGACTTGGAAGCTTGTGACTCTCAGAAGGTGGTGCTGAGAATCACATTCCTTGTTGAGAGGGGCAGGGGGGAAAAGGCCTTCCTAAAGTTTTACAAACTAGCCGCTGCGGGAAGGTGGGCTGCTAGATGCAGGTGAAGGGGATGTACTTGTACCCCTGCCACCCAGGAGGTTTGGGACATCACTTCACTGATGTGTCCACTGATGTTTCAGTTGCACATCTGACAGCACTGCTGCTCCTCGCATTATTTCCCACAGCTCAGCTATAGCCACAGACCAGCCTCGTCAGCGTTACGATAGCCCCTATACAGCCCAGGCTTTGTTCCGCGCTGCCGTGCTATACCCCATACAAAGGGCTGTCCCTGATCCAGATCTTCTCTTTAAAGCACTCTGCTCATGCTCGAATTAGCACCATTGACCTAAGCTATTCCAATCACCTCCTCTTCCACGGTGCAAGGATCAGAGAGGTTTAGAGCTTGCCTTCCTTTTGCAGGAAGGAAGTTCTTTTAGCCGCCTTGAAGAGTCCATGACTTTCAGAGAGAAGACACTCCTCAACACAGAGATAAGGGCTCATCCAGCTTAAGCAGAACCACAGGATGGTTTCTGTTCACCAGCAACCACTCCATTATATTTAGGACTTAATTACCATGACCAAAGGTTTAGGTTTTCTTGTTTTAGAAGAGCGAGACAGTGACACCACCATCTACCCCTGCAGCTCGGGGTAGCACAGAGTCTCCCCCTTTTAGCTATTAGTTAAAAGCTATGTAACTTTTAGGAGTCACAGGATCTGAGGCAGGTAGTGTGCTCCACCACCTACCTCAACCGATGAGGGAAAACTCCTTATGGTATCCTTAAAGCCTCCCCATTATTTTCTAGCTACACTCCACTGGAGCATTGCCACAGCTCTTTTTGCTCTTTAGTTATTTGCTGCCTTCTAGGGCTGAATTCCAAGAAGAAATGCACTATTCTCAATGGGACTCACCTCTGAATTTCACATAGCCAGGGGAAGTGTGGTTTGAGGCCAGGGGACCACACGTTTGATCCAGAACAGATCTCGTGGGGAACTGCCTTATTCCAGGCAGCGGTTGGAAACCCCCACACATCTTAACGAAACCAGAAAGCAAGAGCTGATGTTCTGAGAAGCCACACGCAGACCTCTGCCTACGTGTCACTTTACCAGGCTTTTCCACCTGCACGTTCACGAGGGCTGTTCGTGCAGTCTGAGCTCAGCACACTTCCCAGCCAAGTCATAAACCCCTGAGCACGGTGTCGTCAGGAAACGGGGCATTTTTGTTCCCGAGTCATCGGTAACACACTCATCTGGCAATCTGAGCTATCAAAACCTGTGCTCCTTGACACTGCCCGAGTGGCACCCAGCCTGGGAATACCCGAGGAAGGCCAGATTTGGGAGCTGTGTTCATACAGCCCAGCAAAACCTCTCTCTGCTTGCAGCCTCTGTGGACCACAGGTCCGTGTGCATGAGACGCACCAAGTGAGGCAGCTCCGGTGCAGTGAGGTGGAAGAACTTGGATTAATCCGTTATTTCCTATGGAAACAGGCTGATGGAGTACACCCCACGGAAGCTAGGCAAGCAGACTCAAATGTGGCAGCTCTGCTCAGAAATAACCAAGGTCTTAAAAGTCCTATGAGAAAAGGGGGCCAGAAAAGACAGAAAACACACGGCCCGGGTCCCACCAGACGAAATACATGAGAGAAAGCTCTTCTAAAAGACCCCGGTGTAGGGCAGAGCTTCAACCACCCACAAGACACACACCATGAAAACTCACTCTGTTGCATTACTGATAAAATAATGCAAAAGGACAGAAAAGTGCTCAGAAGAGGCATAATCTGTAAGGACAATGCAGTGGCAACATGGTTCAAGCCTAGAATCACACTTCCAAGGATACAGTTGAAAAGGTACCAGAAATACCAAGAGTACAACTCACAGGACCTTTCTGCTGGGGAAGGAAAAGGCCACTATCCTGCTAGTAGCTCAGCACCTCTCTCCCCCTTTGTAAAACTCCCTAGGATCAACAGAGAAATGACTTAGCACCCCAGGGTTACTGGAGAAAGAGTCAGCCTGTGCAAATAGCACCCAGAGACTTACAATGCCCAAGAAACGCAGGCAGGCAGTTATTGCCCCGAGCTGACGCAAGGGTCAGGAAGCAGGAGCAGCAATTCTCCGGGCACAGCATGCTGAGCTAATGTTTGAAGTCTTGCATGTGCCGTCAGCACCACAGAGCCCGAAACCCGCTGGAACCGAGTCCTCAGCAGTCCCTCAGCTCCCTTCAGGGCCCCACCGGCCAAACCCTGCTCTGGTCTTGGCTGAGAGGGTGAGAAAAGGAACCTGACCCTCCCATTGCTTCACTCCTGGCGAGGCTGGAGCTGGTGTAGGGGCCTCTGTTTCAAAGGGTTGGCAATCGAGCACCTCCGTGTCCATCCTTCCTCGTGGGCAGTGGGAAGAGAGCCATTTGCCTCAGTTAAAGTGAGCCGAGCGGCTGCACGGCCCTCTCTGCCTCCCCTCTCACCAGAACTCAGTGAAACACGCACCAAACACCCGCAAACTGTCACAACAGATGCTCCTCCCTTAAAACACGACATCCGAGAGAAGGGGCCGCAGCACCTGCTGGGCCCACTCCTGAACCACGGTCCCAGGCTCCAGCCCCAGAACAAGGCAGCTCAGCGCGGTGCTGGGCAGGAGCTGCTGTCAGCAACAGCCGCGGGGCCCCCCC